TCCTCGTGCTCCTGACCGGGCAGAGGTTTCACTTGTTTGTATTTGAACCTGGCCGATCTCCTGATCGAGCAGGTTATATAGTTTGATGTTTGAAGTGGTTTCAATGAAACAGCTTTTGCATGCTAAGAAGATGCGCACCTAGTAATCGCATATAGATATAGCTGATTGGTTGTTGTCAGTCCACCGGAAGCTGAAGGCGCTGGCCAGAAGAGGGCACCGACTGTCTACATGAAGGTCCTGGCCATAAGACTATTCCGTTGCGAGTCGGATGGCAATGTCACAGTCTAACCCATGCCCTGCATGAAGGTGGACACGAAGTATAGCGAGGTTCTTGTGATAGAACTTCATAGAAGACTTTTCTGATGGTTGCCTCGAACCCATGCCCTACGGATTCAATTGCTGCGCAATGCTATGCGTTGTTGTCTACTCCTTTTCCACTCTTGGCCAAAAGGTTAATGCGGAACCCTCCCAGGCACCACACGGAAGGTGAGCATAAGGTATATTACCAATTTGTCACACAATGTTTTTTTATCACCTCTCGCCACACATGCCGGCTTTGAGGCCATTCCTGGCCTCCTCTTGCTCGTCGATTCCAATATGATAATGTGTGCGGCAAACTCGATGACACCTGGTCTTGCTGACTCTTGCGAGCTCCTCGGGTGAATTTTCGTTGACATGGCCCTCAACTTCTTGTTGTAATTGCCGGGGAACTTCTCCCCTGCTCGTTTACGGAAGGAAGAGCATAAGCAAACACGGGCAATCGCTCATCCATGTCCTCAAAAGTGTGAGATACATCCAGGGCGTGTACTGTGCACAGCCCACGAGGCAGGGGCGTGTGCTGTGCAGCCGACACGGAAGATGTCTTCTTGCACCTTTCCTACGATCGTTACGGCATTCATGTATCTCCTCGTGTAGCCAATGATGGAAGAAAGACGGGGCCAAAAATCGCCCATCCAACTGTAAGATTTAGGGCGTGTACTGTGCACAGCCCACGAGGAACGGGCGTGTGCTGTGCAGCCGACACGGAAGATGTCTTCTTGCGCCTTTTTTACGATCATTACGGCATTTATGTATGAAAGGTGCAAGAAGGCATCTTCCGTAACATCCAGGAGGCACGCAGTGTTGGCCCGTCTGGGAGTGTTATGCGTTCGAGACGGAACGCTGATGGAGAGCTGTATGACGGGAAACTGTCACGTACGGTTCGGAGGGCAGAGACTCACCTCTGACCCCTACCCATTTTAGGTTTTGCTTTAACTGAAGCTATTGCTTTATTCGCCTTAATGATGGCTTTCTTAATTTTATGGGCGACCGCGACACTACCAAATGAATTGCTCCTAGCCTTTTTAGTATTAATTCCAAGAATAGGAAACTCTAAATCTTTTTTGGAATCATCCCTATTTGATACCATTTTACGATAACCTTTCAAATCATCCTTTTTGACAATTTCATCCATAATAAAACTTGAAGAAGGCTCTATTTCTTTCTTTTCCTTACTGCACAGCACACGCCCCTTCCTCGTAGGAAAGGTGCAAGAAGGCATCTTCCAGCGATGGAAAAAAGACGGTTGCACTCTTTAGGCCCGATCCAAAAACAGTGACACTCTTTAGGCGCGATTGAATAACGAGGGTAAATTTTTTTGGGGGGCGGATCACAAAACAATGAGACTCCTCCGGGCAGTCGAAAAGCATTGACACTCTTACGTCCAGTCTTCCTTATTGTCCAGCACACCATGTTCTCGGACGCCCTTAGTGGCCCTTTTCTTCTTCTTCTTCTTCTTCTTCTTCTTTTTTAAGTTTTGAATACCAGGCAGTTGAAGCATTTCAAAAAGATGCCAGAGAGAAGGAGAGGGAAGCAAAACATGTTATTTTATTTATTAACTATGTAATAGCTTTTCCTATCACAGCCGTTGTGGCCGACATGAAGGTGAAAACAAATGCTCACCAAAATTTCAGTGCCTTGTCTGCACTTGTGCTTCCTTTACCATCCTCCCTCCAGCATAGCACACCCTCGTCTCTGTATTTGTGTGGACTGCTGATGTAACCATGAGACGCTTTCGGCCAATCAAAAAAGCAACGACACAATCTTTTTTAGGCCATTCTTCCTTATCGTCCAAGGCAATGTGTTCTCCGACACCTTGACCGTCTTCCCTCCAACATAGTACACCCGCTTCGCTGATTTTACGTCGATTACTGACGTACTTTGTGAATTATACTGACGTACTTTGTGAATGTATACAGACGTACGTTGTGAATGTACACTGATCTACTTTGAGAATGTATGCATCATGATATCTTTCCTGTCAAATACAGTGATGATAGTGGCGTGTTGTGTTCGGGGGACGATGGTGCTGTTGTTGAGTGTATGTGTCTGTTTAGCGAGTGTGTGAAGAACTCGAATGATGATATTAAATATTTCCATCCTTTGGAACGTCAAACACAGAGAAGGTTGGCATCGGCCAGCACATAGATGGCGTGCACAAATCGAGAAAGGCAGTAAAGTATTTATTATTGAATGATAAAAAAAATAGGATTTAAAAAAAAAAGGATGTCAAACTTACACAAGAAAAAAAGGACAACATTACTCATTCTGCTGCCTGCTGCCATTCCCGTAAGCCCTGGGTATCCCCACGTGATCAAAGGTCCTTCTTCTCTTTCCCCTACTGTCTTCACCCAAATAGAACACCCGGTCATTATAACTGCATTGGCACAACTTTCAGTCCAGATGCAGTGGTAATGACTGGGCATTCTATTTTTTTTATTTATTTATTTTTTTGGAGGGCATTCTATTTGGGTGATGACGGTAGGTGTTGTTTTCTCCATGGCTCTCCCCATGGGTCTTCTTCCAAACTTTCTTTGGCCCTTCCTGTGGTCTGGTCATCATCTGTCATTTTTTTTAACTTTTTCTTCCCCGTCTTCAGCACCATCTTCCCTCTTTATGTACGTCTCTGACTCTCTGCATAATTTTTATCAATTTACTTTTCTTTTTTCTTTTTTTCTTTAGGAAAGACTTACTCTACCTAGTTTTTTTTTTTTTTTTTTTTTTTTTTTTTTACTGCATAAGTTCCAGCAATTTACTATAGTTCTCATCTAATGTTTTTAATACTTTTTATTGGTACTGCCGACCGTCTGATGAATTCTGTGCAAACTTGCGTCAATGTGTGAAAATCGTCGCTCTTCGATCTACAATCCTCCCAGGCAGAGGTCAGTGGTGCCACTGTCTCTTCCAGTACAGTTGCCCATGCCAGTCTGCCTGCAGTCTCGGCCGTTGAGCGGCCTCCTACACCGTTGCCCGAGACGATGACAACTGGTCTAGCACCCCCTTTGACTCCCCAGCCTCCCTTGGCAAGCACCGGTGGCGCGGCTTCAGGAGAGTACTATGGTGGGGGTCAACATCAGCCGCTGCCACCTGCGGCAGCAGCACAATATGTGCGTTCATCGTCTTTTGCTTTTTCTCCACCAGAGAATCCCTGTTTCGGCATGCCGCCCTCAGCTCCTCTGCACCCTCCGCCCACTCAACCGCCTTCTTCATACTCGTCTTATCCGAGTACGGAGGGCGCAGCGGCACCCACAGTTCCCTTCGCAGTTGCCGAAAGGCCATCAGCTCCATCGTACAATGCGGCCAGAGCTCCGTACACCACTTCAAGTCAACCCTCTGCTCCAACTGTAGGGGGACCTACTCAAGGCGGGTACCCGGGAGTGGCCGGAGTTGCGGCACACAGGAGCACGAGTCACGGAACTGAAGCAGGCAGTCATGTTCAGGGCTGGGCTGCTCAAGCTGTGCCAGGAACCGGTGCTCGGACCGTTGGAGCAAGCGCTGGACCAGGTGGACCAGGGCATGCCAGCAATGGACCGTTTGCGGCAGTGCACCACACTCCATCTCCCGATAAAGTTGCAGAAGCACACAAAGCAGCGCGGTTTGCGGTGAGCGCGTTGGCATTCGACGATGTTCCGACTGCTATCACATACCTGCAAAGATCTCTGCAGTTGCTGACAAATCCGAGCGCGCCAATTTGATGTACGAGGGAGGCGGAGTGACTCCGGACCTGGAAGCAGTGTCGTTTGGCCATTGTATCAGCGTGCATTGTGCGACCAGCAAACTGCCAGCTGAAAAGTGGGAGGTGAGGTTGCTTTGCCAAATAGTAGTGCCTAGTTGTGAGTAGCTCCGATTGTCTGTGAGTTTCCCCCTGCCCGTTTGTTTGGATGCATGCTTGTGCTCGTGCATGGTGCCTCAGGCCTTGTTTTAGGTAGGAAGATGGCTTCATGAGTGTGCTGGATTCGCGGAGGAGATGTGGTATTATCCTCCAGGCGGACACTCAACTGGTTACCTTTGGCTTGCTCAGTTTGCTTCCCTGTGGAAATCATGTGTAGCAGAGTGTGTGTGTGTGTGTG